CCAAGTGATTCTGCCATTTCCAGTCCTTTGAGTAAACAGCAGCATGTGACTCTGTTGGTCTTCCATCCCTGAGACAGTCCCTTCTTGTGTCCAGAACGTGTTCCCTTTCCCATTCCCATTCCCATCAGGATGCCCCTGAACACTGCATCCTCCTAAGTCTGCTTAGCTGGATCCCCATCATCTTGATGACATCTGAACGGGGTGCTTCAAATCTCAGTCCCCACATGTCTTTTTTTTTTTTTTTTTTTTTTTTTCTTTTCTGCTTTTCTGTTTTCTGTTTTTCTACATGACTTTAAGAATAATCTAGAGGGCCAGGCCTGGTGATCCCAGCACAGCCAGAGAAATCCTGTCTCAAACAATCAAAATAGAAACAATCCAACAAACCCTAAAATCAACCCCAAAATGCATTCTCCCAATGTAGGCATCCCCCTGAACTCCGAAGCTGTACCTATCCTGTAGTGTGTCTGCACGTTTATCACACAGACTTAACGTGATTAAGGAAGTCCCAATCCTCCTGTTAATTCTCTCTAATTCCTCCCCACTTGGCAGCCACAGGGATTACTTAGAAACTGGTTGGATTATGTTAACGCATTCTCCGAGATCAAGCTCCTTTGCTACCTTTGGAGGTTGCTGTTAGGCAGCTCCTTTACATGAAAACGATGAAATGGAACGCATCAAGATGCTCTAGTCTTAAGGAGAAATTATTCTTTATTCCAGTGGATAAAGATAAAAACAAATTCTTTTTCCCCTTTTGGTTTCTCAGGTCAAGGTTTCTCTGTGTAGTGGCCCTGACTGTCTTGGAACTCAGTTTATAGACTAAGCTGACCTCACTCACAGAAATCTGCCTGCCTCTGCTTCCTGAGTGCTAGGATTAAGGGCGTGCTTTACCATGCTTGGCAAGGCAGATTCTTTAAAGAAGAATGGCAGCCAGTAAACAGAGAAGGAATGTGTAATTAAAAAAAAAAAAAATCAGTACAACTCAGTGAAATAACTGATTCAGACTAAGATTATCAATAGAGGCTGAAACATTTCATGGCCAGATGTTGGAGAGGACATTGGGCTGAAAACAAAAACAAAACACTGCCAACTTACATAGGGGGAAATATATTTCTACTGAGGAAAAACTCTGGCTGTTAGCCCTCTCCTAAGGGATTCCACTCATAGCGAGTAACCTGTCTGTTTAATTATAATAGATAAAGAGGAGAGCAGGGCGTAATATTTTCCTGCCAATGAACAATCGGAAACAATAGTGATATTGTCCCATGGCCCCAAGTTTGAGAGATCAAGCACTGACCCGTGGCTACAGAGGTCCCATCAGTAAATTAAAATCTTAGTTTTTCTTTTAATTTAGGCATATTACAGTTTTGCCCCATGAGTTAGATAACAAATACTTAAGTTACTTGGCCCTTTTTATTTGTAATAGCAGTGTTGGATACTTATTTTGGCTTGTGAGTGATATGAAAACATTTCTTGAGCCATATGCTAGGGATGAGGGAGCTTGGGTGCCCCCGGTAGTAAGGTAACCCCTGCTAGAGCTAAGCGCACTGGGCGACGCTCATTCTTCAGCTGGGATGGCATCACGGTGATGGTCTGAGTCACTGCCTCCAGTCCTGGCACCCACTTCATCGGCAGTTCAACTGCTCAGCCTCCGTGAGTGTCTGAGTGCTGTAACCTTCCTGATGGTTCCCAATGTGCCCCCGTGGTGGCCTCAGATGGTGGCCCTGAACCTGTCCTGCAGCTGTTGCCTCTCTCGCCACGCTCAACGCTTTCCAAAGACAGGAAATCAGTGTCTGTCCACTGGCCCCAGAGATGTAGTGCGGTAGAGTGTCCTACCACATGCACACCATGACTAACTACTGGGCCACCATGACATGTGTGAGCTGTGTTGTTTAACTATGAACATGTGCGCATGTTTGAATGAATCAAATCCGGCAAATCAACTGCTTCCAACATCCTCAGGTGGGCTTGGGCCCCGCCCTCCTGTTATTTCACTAGAATGGACGGAATGCTTTGTAATAATCAGCAAAACCTATGGTCACAAGGTCACCATGGTCAGACCACTCCCAGGGGCTTGAGTACAAACTTAAAAAAAGCTTCATGCTCTCTCATCTATAGATTCCTATTTGAGAGGCGAGATGTGCATTTTCCAAGGTGTTTACTGCCAGAGACAAGGTGAATGAGGAGCAGAAGTCATGTCCTTTATCCATGACCCTAAGCGGATCACTGGCTTGCAATCTCACAGGCCTCTTAAGGTGTCAGTAATGACTGAATTTTTAAAAATCAATCTTAACGCAGTTTAGGAGTGAAAAAGCACAGATCCCCAGAGCATTGCCTAGTCCAGATGGGCCATCTCAGTTGATGTCTCAGCTCACCTTAGATAAGAAAAGTTGTTTTGATAAGAAATAAATGGGGGCTGGAGAGATGGCTTGGCGTTAAGAGCACTGGCTGCTCTCCCAGAACACCCAGATTCAATTCCCAGCTCACAGCTGTCTAATTCCCATTCCAAGGGATCCTACCCTCTCACACAGGCAGCCTAAAAACCATTGTACATAAAGTAAAAGTAAATAAATTAAGAAAAGAGAATAAATAGATGGGTGAGTGAATGTGGATGATGGGGTAAACTTGAAATAAGAACATCCTGAAATAGATAAAAATAAACCCTGTGCAAGGATCTAGAGTTTGCTACATGTTTCTTTTACAGAGAAAGACATCTTTCCTTCTAGGAGCTGCATACTAGTTCTTACTAGGCGCAGCTTATACTGTTCTGCTGTAGGTGTGGGGGTTACTTTTTGTCACCTCGACACAAGCTAAGGTCTTCCGAGAAGAGCGAATCTCAATTGAGGAAATGCCTCCATCAGATCGGCCTGTGGGCAAGTGTGTGCGGCTTTGTCTTGATTGGTGATTGATGGGGAAGGGTGTGGCCTACTCTCTGGGCAGTGCCGCCCCTGGGCAGGTGGGCCTTCGTTGTAGAAGAAAGGAAAATGAGTAGCCCTAAGGAGCAAGCCAGTAAGCAGGGTTCCTCCGTGGTCTCTGCTTCAGTCCCTGCCTCCCGGTTCCTGTTCTGACTTCCCTCCACGGTGGACTGTAAGTTTTGAGATAAAATAAACCCTTTCCTCCCCGAATTGCTTTTGGTCATAACGTTTGTCACAGCAATAGAAAGTAATCTAGGATGGTCAGTTTACCTTTTTTTTTTGCTTGGGAAAATACAGAAAAAGCAGCCTTTGATTATGAAAGAATAGGAACAAAACTAAAATTGAAATGCAATGACCCATTCCTTATAGAGTTCACAGGTTATTTTTCAGTCTTAAAAAGTAAAGTTTTGTCATTTTCCTTAGTGGAAATAACTGCTGTGAAGAGGCAATTTTTAAGAAATTCCTCTTAAGTCTCATTGTTATTTTCAATGGCAATTCAGCACACGACCTGCTGGTGTTGAAGCTGGGAGCTCGGTGTGAAACTCCTGAAATTATGCCAGGTCTATCTTTTCAGTTGTGGGGCCCGAGAAACAGGAAACTTTCTAGGGGCAAGGAGAGTTGAATTTATAAAGAACAGCGAGCAAGCGAAGTAGAGGGAAAGTGGGAGAGAGATTAATGAGATACTGACATATATTCCATTGATAATACATGTATGTATGTATACATACATACGGAGAGAGAGAAACTGATTTTATTTTACTATCTCCTGTCTTTCTGGGGAAGAAACCTCAGGTTTGCAAAATCAGTTTTCAAAGGAGCACCGATTGTTTCCCAAGTGCTTGCCAACTCTTCTCAACTGGCTAAGGTGGAGGAACGGAAGTGTTGAGCCTCAGGCGGGCGAGGTGTTGGCTTGTTCGAGCATCGCAACAATAAAGACTATCACAGTGACCACGCAGCTCAGGCTCCGACTGAACAGACGCCACAGAGGCGGGGAAACGAGACCATTGGTTTGTGCAAAAAGATGGAAAACACGGAAAATAAATGTGTGTAGCTGCCTTTCTTTCTTGTTTTTAACCGTTGCACGGGAAAGCCGTTTTCTTCAGTGTGTCGCCCGCGGGAGAGGCTGCGGGCCGCAGGTGGGAGGCGGGACCCGCAGTGCAGAGGCCGGGGCGAGGGGTGGTTCGTGGGCGCGGGCGAGCCCTCGGCGCGGTGGGCTCTCCCGCTCGGCGGTGCGGGCCGCGCGGGGCACGTGCCGCT